ACCTCAGCCATTTTGGACATGAGCTCTTGGTGCTCTGGGTCTCCTGGACCCCTCTTGGCTCCTGGTTCTTCTCCCTCTCTTACTCCCTCCCCTGCTCAAGGTCCAGTTCAGTCTGGACCTTTCCAGATGACTCTGGCCGTTTTCTCCCTCATATCTACAATAAACCTTCTCCTCAACTCGTACCTGGGAGCAGTCATGTCCTCATTTTTTTTTTTCCAATTTGGCAACCTCGTGAAACTAAAAGGCTGCTGTACGGTAAAGAAAACTGTCCATCTATTGAAGAGGCAGCCTGCAGAATGCAAGAAAATCTTGGCTGACTTTCCATATTAACGGAACACATGTTGTCCTGTGTCTTAAGGAGCTTCCTTGCAGGATGGAATGGTTTGCCTCTCTTCAGAACATCCTCTGTCTTAATGAGGAGCTTCACTTCAAAGTGGACAGACAGTCTTCCCTTCAAGAAAATTGTTAATCAACAAATGCCAACTTGCAAGGCAAGATATGCCCACTGGTGAAATAGTGCCATGATTGTGGGTGGGGGATGGGGAGACCAATCACTTTCTGATTGGATTTGAGGCTCAAGAGGGAATACATCCTTGTACTGTCAATCTGGCCAAGTCTAACCCTGAGGATGTCACAGGCTCTGTGAGGAAGTCTGTTACCAATGAGACATGTAACCTTGCTGCCTTCTAAACATTTATTTGTACCTAGAGACTAGCACAGGCCCCATCCCTTAGATGGAGGACCTTCTTTTGACAGAAAGTAACAGTAATTGTGGAGACCCATAACTGGTCAAAGTGTTGACAATAAGTAAATACTGAGTGCTTAGTTGTAAATAGGACATCTGTATCATCCCTTCCCGGGCCCAGGGAACATGAAACAGGGGGTTGAAATACTGTAGGAGCTGGAGTACAGAGAAGAGTTATTATTGGAGTTATTGCATTCATGAACGCAGCAGCTATGGCTCTCGGCATAAGACTTATACTAGACTGGGCCCGTCAGCATCTCATCGTGGATGGCGAGGGACTCATGAGACCCCATTCCTCTTTGAGGAGGCTTTCGCAGTTAATGGTTGCTGGGGGAGGAATACTCATTTTCTTTAGGGGTAGAGCTAGCTATTGGTAAGTTGCCCACGCTCCGGTAAATAGCCTCCTGCCCATGCTCACAGAAGCCACCCTAATTACACTCAGCGAGGCACACACACACACACACACACACACACACACACACACACACACACACACACGACATGAATGTAGGAGGGGGACTAGTTGGGATGAAAAAGGAGATCAGCAGGAGTGGGAAGATCTGATGGTTTACATTTGAATAGGTGGTCTCCAGTTGGTGGAACTGTTTGGGAA